CTGACGTGACATTTAGATAGGGATGTCAACCGTCTGGTGGGTAAATCTGTCCCTGAAAGCGACGGCACTCGGTTTGGTGTATTTCAAGTCATCTCCATCTCGCCTTCAAGCGAGCGAGTTCACTCTTGATCGAATTAGCGCGCCGAGAATGCCTGATACCCTGACAGTCTGAAGTAATTAACGACAGAACGCGAGGTAACCAGCCATTATCGAAACAACAGAACCCATTCTCTCTCTCTCTCTCTCTCTCCTTTAACTCCTTGATATACCAGTGTTTCCCCTCTTCACCCCTCCACCCCCATCCCTTTTCCTTTCAACGACAATATCTTCGACATCTTTTCTCACTAAATATCATGAAAAAAAAATTTTATTCAATTTTATATTTTTTGATATAATTCCGTGTAGAAATTGATCTAGTTAAATCCTATTTGCTATCTGGGCCTGATAAGGGTTGCCTCATTATAGCCTAATCGGGGAATTACCGGGACCTGATAGGGGCCCTAGAATACAAAAATCATTTTTTAAAAAAAGTAATAAATGCAATCTTTGGTATTTCTTTTTTTAATGACCACATTCAAGTAATAAAAATAAATGTCAGATTGTCAATGAATGTCTTTCCTGAATGTTTAAAATAAAGAAGTGTTACAATAAAATGTCAAAGGAAAAAAGTACAAAAAGAGTGAGGAGATATCGATTTATAAAAAGGACTTAAAAATTTAATGCAAAACACTAAAGAAAGTAAGTAAATATTTTTAATTAAGATTTTCTAACAATTAATTTTAGAAACTTCTATAATTTTTCTTTATCTAAATATCATGTTGCAAAGTTAAATTACACCAAAATTATCTATGCGGACCATTTCTATGACTGCAAAAAATTATTTATTTTTTAAAACATGTTTCTTGAAATTATTTCTCTTTAGGTTAATGATACATTTTGAAATTTTGCAAAAAGTTATTTTTAAACGAAACAAAATTATTTAATTTTTAAAGAAAATATTTCAAAAACCTTTAAATTTGCATTTTATTCTTGAAATTAATATTGCTTAAGTATTTAACATTTTTTAAATTACAAATTGTTGAAACTTTTTAATTTTCTTATCATTAAAAAAATAATTCTAATAAGTAATTATATAAACATATAAAATTTTATTTTATTAAAATTTAATTGATATTTATTTATTTATTAAAATTTCGAATTTTTTTAATTATTCCAGATGTACTGATGGAAAAATTCAACTTGAGCTAAGACAGCGTTCTAGGTCTCTTCGCAATTGTGTTTAACAATGCAAAAGATTAGGAAAGAGGACGCAAGATGAGGATGAAGTTAGATTTTTAAAGTTCATTTCTGTTGTGTTACTTTTTTTCGTTTATATATTGTATCCTCTATAATCTCATTTTGTTTGAAAAAATAAAAATTTACTAACTTAAACGAATGGGTTAACAATTTTTTTCATTTCAGTATTTTATTTCGATTTTCAATAATTAATAGTAAAAATAATTTATATAAACAAAATTATTACAAAAGTTAATTGTATTAATTATAATTTGTGATTTAATTATCTTTATATGATTAAAATTTTAATGTTGAGCAGGAAGAAACATTGTAGTTTTTTCAATACTGTCAAGCCAACCTATTTTTTTGTAATTTAAACAAAATGCTTTACCTACTATCAATACATCATAATTTATATAATTTTTGTTCACTTAGTTTGTAAAATTTCAAATATTTTTAGCACGAACGGCACTTTATTAATTGCTGAGCTAGAAAATACATGCAAACGTGTTTTTTTTAAAATGATGTTAATGACAGGAAAGAGGTTATTAACTGAATTAATTAAACAAAATAATGACATCTGTGGCCCCTTTGATAACCCTATTTGGCCCTTAATTTCAAAATGTATTGTCAGGTCCAGTTCAAGTAAGGTGTTTCATTTGATCATTTCCCTAACTAGGGCCATATTTCGCCTAATCTGGTCCTGATCTGCACCATCTTTCAATTTCTACACGGGATTTCATGAAAAATTTAATTAAACAAAATTATTTTTCTTACAATTTATCATATTTTTCTACATTGTTGATAAAAAAAAATGAAACAACAAGAAAAATAGTTTTGAGTTGTGAAAACATCTGAGTTGGCAATCTTTCCGGATTTCATGATGCAGCAATATAGTGCGGGACGCTCGTATCAAATGCCGTAAATGTTTAGTATACCGCGCAGGTGTGGAGGTGCTGAAAAAAATCACGTCTGCATTTGCATAAGCGCCGGAATAAACCACTCGACAGAAATCCCGACATAAACCTAAACAGGATTCCACCACGGGACACGGCGTCCGTTGAATACGCAATGCCCGCGTGTACATGTATCTCTCTTTCTCTGCTTTTACTATACTACTGAATACTTTTTTATATTATTCGCTATACTATTTGAATTTTTTTTTCTTCCACTAAAAATCAGAAAAAAAAATATACTCACTTATACTCTTGAACATTTTTACAGTATATATAAAATTTTTTTCCCGATATTAATTATCTACACCCACTGAAATATTGACACTTATTTGAGGTGAATAAAATTTATTTAGAGTTAATAAAAAGTATATTTGTCTCAGACTTAACATTTTAAAAAAAAAAAAAATTATTTAGCGCAAGGTAAATTTTTATTTAGTGTAAATAAAATTTTTATTCTAATTCAAAATTTTTTTTTTCAGAACTTATTTACGCATAATTTTGAGAATTAATCTTTTAAAAATGTAATTTAAGAAACAAATTGCTTGGACACGACTCTCATTCAGGTGCCGAAAGACTGATGACAATGGCACCTGACATGAATCACAATGTCCTTGTGAAAATCCTGACGAAATGATTCTCGAGGCATTTTACATTGTTGGCAAAGGAATAAAAAATGTACCCCTTGCATCATATAATATATTGATCTTTTTTTCTTACGCGTGCTTATTTCTCTAGTATTTTTTTTTTGCCTGCATATATATTCACAAAAAAGAAAAAAAAATACCAGGAAAGATCGCATTTTAAAACCGGCAATAAAAAAAGAAGAGAATGGCCAATGTTAGATTTTAAAGGTCCAACTCGAGGCGACAGTTGGTATAACAGTAACCCTCCCCCACTCTCTTTCATTCTCTATCCGCGAAACCTTATTTCTTCTAATACTGAAATCAGAGCACGTCGACACCTTCGGTGCTCTTTGAAAACATATCCCACTGGCTAGATTATTCCTAAATATTGGATTCTTCTCTCAGGACCCTCTAACTTGATAATAATATTAAAAAGGAAATAGGAAATCAAATTTAATTCATATTTTTCGAAAACTAATTTATTTTTTCACTATTTATTAGTTCAATTTTGCTAATTTAAATTTATAGAGTAAATAAATAATTAATTTACGTAAATGGCGCCTCTATCAAAGGGTTTCGGTTGATATGGAAAATAATCTTTAGTAACGGTTGCTAGGAAAAGAAAAATCCTTAGCAACGGTTGCTATGGAAAAAAATCCTTAGCAACTATTGATAGGGAAAGAAATCCTTAGTAACGGTTGCTATGGAAAATAATCTTTAGTAACGGTTTCTAGGGAAAGAAAAATCCTTAGTAATGGTTGCTAAGGAAAGAAAAATCCTTAGCAACGGTTGCTATGGAAAATAATCTTTAGTAACCGTTGCTAGGGAAAGAAAAATCCTTAGCAACGGTTGCTATGGAAAATAATCCTTGGTAACGGTTGCTATGGAAAAAAATCCTTAGTAACGGTTGCTAAGGAAAGAAAAATCCTTAGCAACGGTTGATATGGAAAATAATCTTTATTAACCGTTGCTAAGGAAAGAAAAGTCCTGAACAACGGTTGCTATGGAAAATAATCTTTAGTAACCGTTGCTAGGGAAAGAAAAATCCTTAGCAACGGTTGCTATGGAAAGAAAAATTCTTAGCAATGGTTGCTATGGAAAATAATCTATATTAACCGTTGCTAAGGGATAAAAAATCCTTAGCAACGGTTGCTAGGGAAAGAAATCCTTAGTAACGATCGCTATGGAAAATAATCCTTAGTAACAGTTGATAAGGAAAAAAATCTTTAATTTTTTATGAGAAATATTTCTGTCACATACACATTTATATAATGAAGAAACGTGGTTCCTGTTTCTTGTCAGATATTAAAAATGAAAAAAAAAAAAAAAAAAAATGTCACTTTTGTCGAAATCGGAACATCGAACATCGACGCCATAAAAAGCAATGCTCCCTCGTAAAGGGGTACGATAAGTACCCACGATGTGAACTAAAATCGATCCACGATATAGAATCGAGTCCCATAAAAAAGAAGCATTAGAGTGAGGGTGCTTTTGTATAATGGTGTTATGATTTCCAACAAAGATACGTGTCATGTTTTGATGATAACGTGGTGTACAAAACGCTAAACGCTCTTCACATTAGTCTCTTTCCCGCGAAACATATATTTAAAGTGAAAAAAAAAAAAAAATCCTACTCTGGTCCATTATATTCCAAATTAAGGGGAAAATTAATTCTCAACACGATCTTGGTAAAAAAAAAAAATAAAAAATTTTAATTACAAAAAATATTTTTAACATTAAAATAAATAAAATTGTTAAAGAAATTTCTCTAAAACGTGAATTTACGTCAGTTCTGACCTATCGTCGAACTCTCCGTTGCTTCTTTATTATTTTTTTTTCCTCTTTTTTTTAAATTAAACTAGAATTTTTAGCATTTAAAAAAGCTCGATAATTGCAGGATGAAGGGTGGTTTCGCAACTTGTTTTTATTTTCTCAGCAATTTCCGTGACAGAGCAGAACGGAAAGCGATCTTAAAGAGAATTAGCAACGCTTTAGTGTCCCGCCTACTTTATCCGTCGGAATTTCTACTACGCCAACAAAACTTGAATCTCAGATTGAAAGAGAAAATAATCTTTTGCAACAATAAAAAAATAATATTCTTAAAATAATATTTTTAATGATTTATTTTATTTAATTTCTGTTTCAGATTTTGTGTCGGCGACAGATTTTACTTGTGTGACAATAAAATACTTTGCGAATATGACTATGAGGAAAGGCTTGTATTTGCAAATTTGGCCCTTCATCCACCGCCAAATGCAACAATGGCACATATTAAAAGACAAGTTAGTCATCTCCAACCACCTGTAAGTTATTTATACAATTGCGCACTGAAAACATAATCCAATTTCCCACCAAAATAAATTTTCCAATAAAAATTTACTAAATCATGAATCAATATAAATTCACTACAAGTCTTTAACCAAAACTTGGCTATTATAAAACAAGAAAAAAAAATCTAGAAAGCAACTATGAGAGAAGAATTTTCTAAAAAGAAAAAAATTTATAAGCATACTTTCTCAACAGATTTTGCTAATGAATTTTTAAATAGAAAAGTGTTAGAGAAGGGTAAAGTTGTAGCGTAGATTAAGCGGATTTAATGAATCTCGATTTACGAGAATTCCTGGCATTTTAGAGACTTGATCAGTTTTCCTTGAGAGAATGCTGAAGCTTCCAAGACTCATCACAACGTAACCCCTTAAGGTGGGTTAAAGTGGCAGGTTCTGACCCTCTCGACAACAAAGGAGTCCCCAGAGGCTTCAGCCATGCCTTTACTCTACTGCCAACGTCTTATATACGAGTAGGATATCGCGTGTCCTTATTAATTAAGCTCGCCCACTAAGCAAGCACCGTCGCATGCCTTAACGATCCATATAGTTTCTTGATGAGCAACAGTCTATATAAATAAGATGCAAATAAATGCAATTTTCTTTATTTAATCACAAGGAAATCAATTACACAATTAATTTTCCCCATCGACGAATAAGAAATTAATTCTGAATTGACGATTTTATCTATTAATATTCAAAGCCAATATTAGGCCAGTATTCACCCAGGATTGAAATAAAAATTCAAATCCATTAACAATAGAAAAAATGGCAGGCAATATTAATTATATATTCAGCCACTAATTGCTGGAGAGGATTTAAATTTCCTGCCAAGATTGGGCCCGTTTTCTCCAAAGCTGAGAAGAGAATACTAATTCATAAACCAAAGAATAACTGGCATATAATATTAATTTTATATTCAGCCACTAATTGCTGGAGAGGATTTTCATATACTTCAATTGCCTGCCAAGATTGGGCCCGTTTTTCCCAAGCTTAAAAGAAAATACTAATTCATAACCCAAAGAAAGACTGGCATTCAATATTAATTTTATATTCAGCCACTAATTGCTGGAGAGGATTCATATACATAAATTTCACTGCCAAGATTGGGCCTGTTTTCTCCCAAGCTGAAAAGAAAATACTAATTCGTAACCCAAAGAAAAACTGGCATTCAATAATGAATCTATATTCAGCCCAGTTTTTCACTAATTGTTGGGGAGGACAGATCCATTAAAAGCATGCCAAGATTGGGCCCGTTTTTCACCAAGCTTAAAAGCAAATGTTAATTTATTAACAATAGCAAAACTTTCAACCAGTATTGAATCTATATTCAGTTCAGTTTGCTACTAATTGAATCTATTAAAATTTGTATGCCAAGATTGGGCCTATTTTCTCCCAAATTTAGATGCAAATACTTAGAAATTACAAACTGTCAGCGAATATAGTTTTTATATTCAGCTTGAAAACACTGCTAGGCATTAAATTCAATAATAGTAACATTGGCTTCTAAACTTGAGTGAATACAGAGGGAATATTGGCTGCATATATTTGCGAATTTCATTATTAGCTACCAATCTCGGTTGAATATTGGCAGAAACTTTATTACGAATAAATTACAGCACTACTTTTTATTCTTTTCTTCAGCCACCAAACTTGCAATTACTGGACCAATCTTTTGTATTATTATTAACCATTGCTACCAACCTCGGGTGAATAATGGCCCAAACTTGGCAGCAAAAATTCATCGACAATTTGCAGCATTGGCTAACAAACCTGGGCGAATATTGGTTTAATCTTAAGTTCTAATTATTCCATTGCAGCATTGTCTACCAAACTCGGGTGAATATTGGCCCAATCTTGGCAGCAAAAATTCATCGACAATTTGCAGCATTGGCTAACAAAACTGGGCGAATATTGGTTTAATCTTGGGTTCTAATTATTCCATTTCAGCATTGTCTACCAAACTCGGGTGAATATTGGCCCAATCTTGGCAGCAAAAATTCATCGACAATTTGCAGCACTGGCTAACAAAACTTGGCGAATATTGGTTTAATCTTGGGTTCTAATTATTCCATTGCAGCATTGTCTACCAAACTCGGGTGAATAATGGCCCAATCTCGGCAGCAAAAATTCATCGACAATTTGCAGCACTGGCTAACAAAACTTGGCGAATATTGGTTTAATCTTGGGTTATAATTATTCCATTGAGTCTACCAAACTCGGGTGAATATTGGCCCAATCTTGGCTGCTAATGTTAGTCAACCAAAACTTGAAAAAAAAATTAAAATCAATTCAAGAAAATATACTATTTGTAAATAAAATACTTTGTTAAGTTTTTACCTTTTATTCCAAAGTAAATGAACGATTTATTGATGAAAGATAATGCAATGGATAAGAAAGGTATTAGATGAAAGCTAAGTAATGAACTTTCTATTGCTAATCTTTTTAGGATTAAATCCTTGATTATCCTAAGGCAACAGCCTCACATCGAAACAATGTGCTTAAGCTTCATTCGCTTGGAAGGACCTTGCCTGTCCAACCTAACTCGGAACGGATCTACTTAATCCGGGTCTCTCGTCTTGCCAAGATCTTTGCATCTTCATGTATTAACTAGACATCACGTACTATGATTTTCTTAGCAAAATATTGACTGCCTAGGACACATAAGTAAACAATCGTTTTGGAAATATTTATAAATATATAAAAATATTCACATTTAATCAAAAATAATTTACATTATAATTATAATCTCAATTATGAATATTATAATTAAGATTCAAATGAAGAAAAGGACTTTTTTAAACCAAAAAAAAAAGAATCATAAAAGTAGAGAATGAAAAATGAGGCGAATTACAAACAAGAGAAACAACAATTTATGGAAATCATATGCTAAGACGGAAAGCAACATAAAATAACATGGGGTGAAATTTTTTAAACCCCATATCAAATCTAACATCCAGGTAAGGGATCTTAATTAAGAAAGTTATGAGGAGAGGTGAAACCGCATGTTTCATTGTTGGAAATTGCTTACGCGGATCCTTCATTTGGCACGTTACAAATGTAGGAGAGGAGGTGGGGGTAAAATGAGCACTAGGGGGTAAAAGGGAATGAAGAAAGGGTTAAATTCTGCACGCTCGAATCGTATACGCATATATATATATATATATATATATATATATATATATAGATAGAATAACGAGGTCTCTCAGTTTGATGATATCGGACTTTGGTAACATGTACTACTTATAATATGCAAATGCCAGTTTCTCTGCCCTTCAACCCGCTATGGCAAACTGCGTGTAATTCTGGGGTTGGTAACCCTCGCGCGACTCTATTCCAACGCTACACATAAGGGGTGAATTCGCCTTGTGTGTATCTTAGTTTAATTAATATCGGTTGCATTAGCGAATATAGAATATATACGTGACGTTGAAGCCTCAAGCTTTGACAAAATTTCCTACGTACCTATAAATACACGTCACATTTTACTATTTATAAGTATAAAAATTCTGTTTAAAAATTCTCTTATAATTTTTTGTACCGATTAAAATCGATTGGAACCGGGGCCCGGCTAGGGCCTAGTGTGGCCTTGGTCGGGTACCCTTTTTCAGCCAGGTCATGGCCAAGTTGGCGAATTTCTACACTGATAGTATCAAGGCTGTTGACACAATAAAAAATTATCAATAAGTTAATGAGAATCCTAAATCATTACAATTATTTTGCAGTCAAAAAATGTGTTTCAATTTTACTTGTGGCATTAAAAAAAAAAAAAAAAAATGTGAATTAGATAGTGTCTTCCGAAAAATTGACAGCCTCTCAAGCTGCTGCCAGAGCGAAAGATCGATTTCTATGGAAAGGGGAATTATAAATGACTCGTGTATAACGGCGTGTAAAATAACGGTTTCGCTTGCGGTAATACCAATAATCGCAGTGGCATGCTAATGTTGTCAAAGCATCCATTGCCGTAAAGCTTGATGGATTCCTCTAGACGTCAAATTTTAACGTTCCCCTTCCAACTTTTAAATTCATAAGAATTACAATACAATAATCTTTCTACTCGATCAAAAGTAAATAAATAATTTCTACTATCTCAAATGACATTTTAATGAAAATTTCTTTTTGTGGCAAAAAAATGTTTTTAAGAAAATAAATAAAAATTTCTTTTCTAAAGGTAAAACTAGATTGAGCCAGTTTTCGCCCAAGTTTGAAAGCATTTGAAAGCATTTGAAAGGTAATGCAGGAATTGATCAACAATTGCAGTCAAGGTTAATTGCTGTTACAATCCAGAAGACTGCAATTGATTAGTATTGGCAGCCAATATAAGCCCATGTTTCGCCCAGGTTTAGTTGACCAATGTTCAGTTGTTCAATAATAGAAACAATGGCTTCTAAACATGCGTGAATGAAGGGCGAATATTGGCTACGAATATTTTACAATTTTTGTAAAAGCTCCCAATCTTGGGTAAATATTGGCAGAAAATCGCGAATAAATTACAGCACTACTTTCTTTTTTCTACTATTTTTCTTTCTTCTTTTTGGCAAACAAACTTGGACAAAAACTGAATCGGTTTTTTGTGTCATTAGTTTCAGCATTCGCTACCAAACTCGGGTGAATAATGGCACAATCTTGGCAAGCAAAATTCATCGACAATTTGCATTATTGTCTAACAAAACTGGTCGAATATTGGTTCAATATTGGGTTCTAAATATTATTCCATATTATTCCATAACTTGGGGAAATAATGGCACAATCTTGGCAGCCAAAATTCATCGACAATCTGCAACATTGGCTAATAAAAATAGAACTAATATTGGATTCAATATTGGGTTCTAAATATTATTCCACTGTAGAATTTTCTAGCAAATTTCAGTGAATACTGGCCAAATCTTGACTAATCGTTTTATTAGAATATTTCAAATGAAATTTAAAATAAAAATTTTATTATTCTGCAGAAAATATTTTTAAGAAAATAAAAAAAA